CAACACGACCCCACCTCCCCGGGGTCTGCACCAGGCTGGCTGCCCCAGTCTGACCCCCCTGCTGGCCAGCTCCCAGCAGAGCTCCACGCGGCCTCTGCAAAACTCTTGGCCGCTTCACAACGGCACCCCCATCCGTGTGTGCCCAAGACAGCAGTGCCAGAAATCTAGAAGCCATCTGATCCCCCCCTTCCCCTCCCCATCCTGAAAACACATGCTCAGCGAGCCCTCTCCATCCCTCCCCACCAGGCAGGGGTTCTCGGCCTCGGAGCATGCAGGTTTGGGCAGGACCGGGCAAGAGTCTGGAGGCATCCCTAGCCTCCACCCACAAGATGCAAACGGTACCCATCACCCCCCACAAGTGTGACGAGCAGAACTCTGTCCGGACACTGGCACACGGCCCCTAGGGGAGACCACCTGTCCTGCTGGGACACACCTGGAGTCTACTCACCATCTCCCCTCCCCCTTCCCCAGGCCACCACCTCGGCTGATGCCCCACCTGCTCCCCACCATCCGTTCTCCACCCAAAGTGATGCTGAGACTCCAGGGGCCAGAGCCCTGCTCCTTCTCGCTCAGCCTCCTCCTTCCCCCGGCCGACCCAGAACAGACCGCACCCCCCCCCCGGGGCCCCCAGCCCCTCTCCTCCTGGCTTTGATGATCTATTTCTCTGGGCTGATGCCCCATGAGAACAGGAACGGAGCCCATCTTCCTCACAGGGTCCCCCGAGGAGCAGGGAAGCTCCGGATGCACGGGAGACCCCCCATAAATATTTGCTGAAGGAACGAATGAATGAGGGCATCCAGTGATGGGAGTGGTTCGGTCACCTGGTGTCAGGCAGAGAAAGGGGTCCCAGGACAGTCACAGGACCGCGGTCCCTGGGGACCCCGATCATCATGGATCTCTGACAGGTTCTCACAACCCTGACCCCACTAGCGGAGGAACAGTGCTGAGAGCACGCCGTCCCTGCGTGTATGGAGCCCAAGCCCCCAGCTGGGAGGGACCTCACCTTGTCCCCTACCAACTCAGATGGTGGGTCTCCTCCCAAGACTCTCCTTGATGCACACCCGAGTCAGGGGATGAGGTTCCTTTTCCTCTGGCACTAATTCCCAGCACAAGCTGACAACTACCCCCCCCCTTTCTCTCTCTCTCTGAGTCCCTTGGCACCCAGTGATCTTGAGGTCACCTCACTTGGGGCAGGAAGGGCCATTTTGCAGATGGTGGGATTTGGGGCTCTGGTGCTCCAAAGAGGACACTCTCCAGGCCCATCCTCTCCCACCACCTCCAGGAAGCCCCCTGCCCTTCCCTGGCTGCCCTCCAGCCCCATCCCCTCCCCATAACCCTTGGCAGAAGCCCTCCATGACCACCTGCCCCCACCTTCCTCTGTCCTGACCTCCAGGGGGCCTCCTCTGATGCCCAGAGTCCGTCTCCACCAGCACCTGTGACAGGCCAGGACCACTGCCTGCCCCACCCCCTGCTGGATGGGTCCCTGCATCCTGGCATCACGCGGGCTTCTCTGAAGTTCCCTCAGAAGCTTTTTTCCCATGAAATAAGAGAGGAACCCGGCCCCAGGGCTGTGGCGGGGAGACACAGGGCACAGAAAACTAAATTGCAGCCTGAGGTGGGAGCTTATTCAGCTTGATTGTTATTTAATATTAATTACACTTTAATACGAACGTTAACTGTGCTTCATAATTTTAATTTTTATTCAATTATTCTGCAACCATTGATTAAGTAACTACAATGATGGGCGCTGGGGATCTAGGAGTGAGGAGATCTCACTCCTTCTCCAACCCAGCGTGCAGCTCAGGTTCGAAAATATGTGCTCAAGGATGGAGTCTGGAGTGAGTGAGTGAATGAATGAATGAATGAATGAATGCATGAGTCAGAAGCTTGCAGTTTATTTGGGGAAACAGGCATGTTGGGCACCAAATGACCCAGAGGCAGGGCAGTCAGCATGCTGGGGCAGAATCGGCTCTGTCTGGGTGATCCTGGAGGGCAGCTCAGAGGCGGTGATGGGTCTCGAATGCCCAGTAAAAGTTTACAAGGAGAGGACACTAGGGAGCATAAGGAACGCAGGCTTGATTTGTGGGGTCCACCTAGGGAGGCCAACAGCAGTCAGGGGGGCTGCGGAGGAAGGCCGGCTGTGGAAATTCCCAGCCTCCGTCTCCTCTGGGGGCACTCGGTGTCCCCCCAGCAGTCACTGAGCCCTTTGCTGGGGTAGGAACAGGGATGGGTTCTTATATTCACAAGCTCAGCCAGTGCCCATGGCAGCTGATGGTGGAGGGACCCCCAGCCTCCCTGTGCCTCAGTTTCCTCATCTGAAAGCAGAGACAGGTGAGCTGGGGGTTCAGACCCAGGCTCTCAGGCCCCACAGCCCAGGCTCACCCCTGCTCTGTGCTCTGCCTTGTCAACGTGCCTGGCGAATGATCCCGAGGGAGCAACCGTGAAGCCACACAATCACCGTGAGCAGATGCAGTGGCCTGGGGCGGGGGGGGGGGCGGGCAGCTGCCTCTCTCTCGACCATGAAGCTGTTCCTGCTCGCCTACTTACCCTCCTCACCATGAACCACACTGACACCACTTCCCTCTGGTGAACCCTGCCCATCGCGTCCCAAGTGTGGGCTTGGGAACAGAAGGAAGGGATAGCGGAGCAAGGCACTCGAAGGAGGGGACAGGGACCTGGAGGAGGGCACAGGGACAGGACGCAGGCCCCAGAGAGACGCCCAAGGCCCCGACAGCCCTCTTCTCAGACGGGATGTGCAGGGGTGGCAGGTGCAGGTGGCACCAAGAGACGAGGAGGAGCCCCCACCTCCTCACCTGTAAACGGGGCACCTGGAGGCCACGCGGGCCCCTCCAAGAGGTTGTCCCCCCAGATGCACTTTCACACTCCAGCCCTGAAGCGCTGGCCCACGGCTCTCCCCCTGCTGGGAGCACCTGGCCATCTCCTCCTCGTGCTTGGATTCTTCCTCCCACACCCACCGCTGGCACCCAGAGTGCACGAGCTAACTGCTTGAACCATGAGCGCGTGCCAACATCCACCTGGGGCATCTGCAGAGGGTCCGCTGACCCCAGCATCTCCGGGGCTCTGGATGGAAATGCAGCCTGAAACCCCACACCCCATCTTTCTCTCTGGATCCCCCCTGGGCTAGCCCAGCACACGTGTCCAGTCATCCCCCAAGATCTGCTGTGTGCCCAGCACACAAAGCAAGGGGGCAGCAGTGGACCAAGGGGGTGAGGCCTCTGTCTGCCTGCAGCACTGGCTCCTGCTGACCATCCCGCAGCCCAGGGCACCACCCTGTCCACAGTCCCAGGGGGCCAAGCCCCACTGCCCAGAGCTGGACCAAGGGAGGCAGCCAGCAAGTCCCACAGCCCGGTCTGAGAAGGCTGGGGGACAGACGGAGGGCTGAGAGAACACAGGGCACTCTGTAGCCCGCGTGTGTCCCCTGAACAGGAATGGGCTCACACAGCGTGGAGACGTCCCCTCTACCAGAAAAGTCTGGAAGTGCCCCCGAGAATCTGGGAAAGCTCAGTCTCTCCTCGTGGACCACGTGGCCCCGGGCAGCTCTGTAAGGCTCTCAGTGTGCCCATCTGCAAAATGGACTAAAATGCTTTGCGGAGAGGATTAAATGAAATAACGCCAACCTCGGACCCGGCCTCTGGCAGGTGCCCAGTAGATGGGACGAGCCATGTCCCTCAGACCAGGACAGCACCCAGAGCCAACTAGGCCCAGAGGCGTGGACGGAAACAGTGATGTCCCCTCTGTCCTGGGCCTCCACGGGGCTCAGGGGGCAGCTCCTGGATTGGGGATCCACAACGACGAGACGATGCAGCCATGGCAACTCCCATCCTTACAACAGGCTGGAAAAAGCTGGACACCTTGGGTCTACTGTGCAGACCCAGCCCGGCACCCCAGACTGGAGCCCCGATGCACAGAGGGCAGCCCTACCCAGGGGACCAGGAAGGGACTGGCAGGGCTGGTTTCAGAGCCTAGAAAACCATCTGCAGGGGCTGGCTGGGTGCAGCTTCCCGGGGTGGGTGGGGGGGGGGCGTTGGAAAGGGCAGTGGTGAGGCTTGACTCATGCCTCTCCAGGGGAGGGGCTGAGTTTTCTTCGTCTATCAGAGAGCAGGACATATATCCGTTGACTTATCAGAGCCTCACTGGAGCCGGGAAGGTCTGTGCTACAACTCGGGGCAGCGGTGAAATCAGACGCCGCACCGGGCCAGGCAGGGTGGCTATGCCTCTTCTGGTTGGAAGCAAAGAAGGAATAACCCTCCTCCCCGACCTGTCGCCACCAGGGGCTCCCTCCAGCCGCACCCCATTCCCGGGCAGCCCCACGTGCTCCAAGCACTCTACAGTGTGCAAAGCACTCTGTGCTTTGTGTGCGGGGAGCCCAGGCTAGAAGCCCAGTGCCTTGCCCGGAAGCCCCCCCCACAAAGGAGCCTCGGGGTCTCCGGGGCCACCCCAGTCCGCATCTCCTCCCAGCTTCTGAGGCCACCACTTACAGTGGGAATCTGAGGGAGGGGGAGTGCCAGGTGCCCACTCTGCTATGTGCACACGTCCACCCGGAATCCTGCACACTGCACGGAGAGCAGGCCTGGCTCTGGGGCCCCAAGGCCCCCGGGGGGGACTCTGCCAGACTCCACTCGCTCACCATTAGATTAGAAAACAGATATTCTGGGGTAACCAACTGCTTGCTCAGTTGCTGACTGGCAACCCTCTGGCAAGAGAAAACAAGTTAACTGCCTAATCCGTTGAATTTATAGCGGGGCCTGTTCTGATTTCTTGGTAACTGTTTCTGAAACCCGTCTGGGGGCAGAAGCGTGTCGGCGTGTTTCTCTCTCTCCTCACTGGCCGGGAACTGTGCTGGACGCCCCATTTCCTCTATGTGGTCTCAGGAACACTCCGTGGAAAATGAAGAGGGTCCAGACCACAGCCGGCGTGGCTGGTGGGCCAGGAGGCCTCGCCCCCTCTGTGCATGGAGTCATCCAGAGAGGGGCCCTCACCGTCCCGCCCCATGGCCAGGATGTCTCCTGATGAGGCTCCCTTGGGCCTGAGCCCCCAGCGTGGGGTGTGGCCTCCTGGCCCGACAATGGGGCAGCGAGGCTCTCGGGTGGCCTGAGTCTCTTGTGGATGTGATTCCCGCCTGCGGGCAATCTGCACCACAAGGGAAACCACGACAGCAAATCCAGGCCTTTGTTTTCAGAATTCTATTTTCAAGTTAATCACTTGTTTGTTTTTAAATGAGAAGCTACACCTTGAGTGTTTTCACTAAATAAGTCTGTGTTTGCCTGTCTAGCAGTGTATTTAAATTCCTCACGTGCTGTGTTTCGGCCAGGAGTTTCCTCTCTGTCCCTCTCTGTCTCTGTCTCTCTCCGTCCCCTCCCTTCTCCCCTTTCCCTGTCTCTCCTCTCTTTGGGGTCAGTCTGCCGATCTGCTACCCGTATTAATTATTAGGCCAGCTCCACACTGGATCCTGCCCAGGCCCCGGAGTAAGACACGTCCACTGGCCTCAAGGTGAGGAGAGGCACAGGTCGATGACAGTAAGTCAGGCACGTTCAGACCAAGACCCTGGGCAGCCGAGGCATCCCTGTGGCCTGACCAGCTGGTGGAGGAACAGCATCTCCTCGGGGACTAGGGTCATGATCAGGTAAGCAGGAGCCATGTTTCAGCCAGGCCAGCCTCCTCCCAGCCTGCATGGTCAGTTTGTGTCCACAGCCGCTCTCGCTATGGCTCAGCCCATACTCTGGGCCACACAGCATCCGCTCCTAACCCACAGCATGGGGCTCACAAGGCCGAACTCTGGCCGCCTCTCCAGCCCCCATCCTTCTCCTTGTCTTGGCCACCTGCTCTTGCAACCCCTGGCCTTGACATAAAGATCCCTTTCTCCGAATGCCCTTCTGTCACCCCAGAAAAGGCTAGGCCCCAGAGAAACATTCTCATGGGTACAACCCCTCACTGACAGCCACTCAGAGCTGCAATCCTTCCCTGAGCTATTGGCCCGTATGGCTCTGGGTCTCTGTTCTGTCGACCTCTCCAGCACCTCACCGAATACCCACACACAGCAGTGCCCCACAAGTGCCGATGGATGGATAGACAGATGGATGGGCAGAGGGATACACGGATGGATGAATGAGTTCAGATGAATGGATAGAGGGACAGGTGGATAGGTGGGTGGATGGATGGATGGATGGATGGCTGACTGGATGGACAGACAGACACATGGATGGTTATGCAGACAGATGGACAGATGGTTTGGTGGATGGATGGATGGGTGGATGGATGGATGGGTGGATGGATGGATGGCTGCTGACTAGATGGATGGTTGGACAGATGGATGGTTATACAGACAGATGGACAGATGGTTTAATGGATGGATGGATGAATGGATGGATGGATGGATGGATGGATGGATGGATATGGATGGAAGGATGGATAGATGGATGGGTGGATGGGTGGATGGAAGGATGGATAGATGGATGGATAGCTGCTGACTAGATGAATGGTTGGACAGATGGATGATTATACAGACAAATGGAGAGATGGATTAAATGGATGGATGAATGGATGCATGGGTGCATGAATAGATGGACAGATGAATGGATGGATGGATGGGTGGATGGATGGCAGGCATCAGTGCTTCTTCCCTCTCATGGATGTCTCACTGCATTGACCATCTGTACTATGTTGGTCCTGGGTACTCTCCCTTCTCTGAATGATGGCCATGTTCGTCATATGATTCAGTTCAGCATTTAACAGTGTGGCCAAATGCTCCATTCCACATGTGAATGTTCTTTTTTCTTAAAGAAGCTCTGGTTATGGAGGGCAGAAGCTGCCACTACTCTTCTCTGTCTGGTTTGGCAACATTGAACCCTCGCCCTCTACCACGATAAATGCAGAAAAGAGGTTATTCAGGTCTTTCATTTCCAATCAAAGAGGAAGCTAAGACCATGGGGAGAAAGTCTAGCATATGAAGCCCAGGGGTTCCAGCAACCCCCCCAGGCGGTCCCCCAGGCTGCTGCCACCCCGGTCTGCCCCCATACGAGACACAGTGTACATGGGCTCAATCAGCGTGCTGAAACCAACAGAAGGTGAACCAGAGTTTCTAGAGTTTTTTTTTGTGCTGGTTTTAAGAGAAACCTAACTCCGAATTTCAACTGAGACAACAGATAATTATGGGAGATTGCAAAAATGATCCATGGTTTCCCTCAAAAAGGTCCCCTCAGGATTCTGCTATGTGGCGAGTGCCCGTGGAGGATTTCATGAGGTTCTCAAGCCCTCAATCCTACATTCCCACTCTGATGACAGTTTTAGGAAGTAAATACTTTCTGTTTTGTTGAATACGTTCCGCAAAGAAAGAGAGAAGAGAGACAGACAGACACTCAGCAGTCTGTAAGGAGGAAGATGCCAAGCTAAGGGTCTGAAGGGAGGACCAAGATGCTTGGCTCCTGTCACCACTCATTGTCCCGGGTCCTTACACTTACAGGAGGGACCTTGTGGGGGATGGGGCTCATGGCTGGCAGATGGCTGTCTTGGTTGGGGGGGTGAGGCGTGGGCAGCAAAGACGCTGGTCCAGCTCAGGGGCATCGGCTCTCTGTTGTGACCCATCTGCAGAGCAGACACCACCCTTGCCCGGAGGCTGAAATCCTAAGACCGGGCTGACGCATGCCAGTGAGTCCCACTGAGGAATCAGAAGGATTGGTGACTTCCAGAAGGACAAAGGGGATAAGCAGACCAAAGGGCTCATCTTACCCCAAGAGCCAAAGGCTGGTTGGTGTCCTGGCCATAGCTGGGAAGGACAGGCAGAATATTCTGGAATGACGGTCTGCCCACTTTAGCACCCCAGCCAGTCTCCTTATTAATTTGCTGGCGTTAAGATAGGGAGAGCGGCAGGGAGGGAAAAAAATTTCCTTACTGTGCCTCGCGACAAGAAAGGCTTGTCTCAGAATCGGCAAGGGATCCCAGAGGTCTACGGTTTATCGTTTCACTGACTTACCAAAGCCAGGTAAGGGTATGGGGCTCACTCCTGAAGACAGGGTTGTGCTGGGGGCACAAAGGGATTATATTTGTGATATACAAATTCCCCGCACTCTCGGGGAAGAAACAAAACTTGAAGACAGCCCCCCTTGAGGTTCCGGCTGGGGGAAAGGAGACAGGGTGGTCACGGTCGGAATCTGGACTCTAAAGGCCAACAGGCTTGGCCCCTCTCCTCCCCTGCTGCACCCTTCTGCTTCTGGTGCCTGTGCAGAGGACAGGAGAGGATTTCGGGAAGAGGAGACTCAGGCACACACGTCTCTGGCACACAGTAGGGGCCCTAAGCGACAACGGCGCTGTAGTGGGTTGAAAGGCAGCCCCCAGAATGATACATCCACGTCCTAACCCCTCAAACCTGAGAATGTGCCCTTATTTGGAATAAGGGTCTTTGCAGATGTGATTAAGTTAAAGGCCTCGAGAGGAGATTATCCTGAACTACCCACGTGGGCCCTAAATCCAGTGACGGATGTCTTACAAGAGAAGGCAAAGGCAGGTCTGGAAGACAGACCATCAGACCATGTGGAGGTGGAAGCAGAGATTGGAGTGATGTGGCCACAAGCCAAGGGATGCCAGAGTCACCCAGAGTCACCCGGAGCCACGGGGAGCTGGAAGACAAGGAGGCACTAACCCCTGCGTCTTTAGGAGGAAGCATGGCCTTGCTGCCACCTTGATTTCGGGCTTCCAGCCTTCAGAACAAGGACAGAATATGCTCCTGTCGTTCTGAGCCCCGCAGGCCATGGCGTTTTGTTCCCGCAGCCCCAGAAAACGCACACGGCACCGCTCATTGAATTCGGGCCGCTGAGTGGAGACAGCCCGACTGGCTGTGAGGACGGAGTGCAGGTGGGGTTCGATCATTTCAGCAGCTCTGCAGCAGGCAAGCACTAGCTGCCTCGTGCCCAGCACCTGCTCCGTGGGGGAAGACCCCAGAGGAGAAGAAAGGGCCCTGCCATCCAGTCCACAGTTCGGGTTTTCCCAGGCGAAACAGAAGGCAAGCCCTAAAGGAATGGGCCCTGGCAAATTTGGTGCACATTTTGAGGGCTGCCTGGGTCCCTCTGTCTGTCACCTGACACGTCCTGCCATCCCCAACCCGGCAGAAGCTCCAACAGCCAAGCAAACAGACCTTCAGCCTGTGGCCTCAGGTTGACCAGATGGCTGATCACAGGATGCTAACACCTGCCCCCACAGTTGGGTGTGCACGAGGTGGGGTGGGGGGGGCGTGCAGTGGGGAGGCGCCCATGGTGCACACAAAGATAGCATCAGCGAGCCTGTCCGTCCCCCTGCCTGGCAGGGGTCTAGATCTCCGGTCCCGGGAACGAGCTCCTGCCAGCAGCAGCTTGAAGACAGAGATGCTGTGTTTGGTGATCTGTCAACGTTATTAGTTGGGATGGTGGCCGCCACCAGGCTCCCACAAATTGTGATATACAAATTGTTAGCAGCTTGCAGACCATTTGCAAATAAACCATCGCAGCGAGGCATTAAAAGATCCCCTAAATAAGCATTCTCGCGGAAGGTAGTGACACGGGAGCCTGCTCATATCCTTCCTGCCTGACACTTGCTCCATCAAAGGAGGAGAGGCTCGTCCCGTGGAGAGGCTGTGCAGGCAGCATTTAAAATGCAAAGATCTGCTGATTTTTCATACGGAATTATACAAATGGAACTGCTCTCCCATTTTATGATTGAATTAGGTAATGTATTGATGGTGCAGAAAGAACCAAGGTTATGTCCTTGTTTTTCATGATTTATGGGCCTGGAGCATTTCACAGCTCCTGGTTCTGGACACAATCTCGCTAACATGCGCCGTGGTGCCCGGGAAGGCTGGCTGTCACAGAGGCACAGGGCAGGGCCGCTGGCCGGACAGGGTTCCAGGCCATTATCACGTCCTCCAGAAGAGCCCTGTTAGAAGGGGAAGGCCCAGCAGCAGGAGGTTGGCTTTGGCCTTTTGTCTTGTTCTCCTCCTGCCATGGTGACTTAAGGCCACAAAGGCAGAAGACAACCGCTGGCGACCAGGTCTGACTCCATTCTCAGAGGCCCTTGCGGCCCAGGAGCCTGGAGGCCAGGGGTTGCTGACCTCACGGGACCCTCTGATCCTGCCTCTGTTCAATTGCTGCACCCGTTCCGGATTTGCCAGCTGCCCTTGGAAGAGCCGCTACCCCCTGCCTCAGCATTCCCACCTGTGAAATGGAGAGATGTGTGTCTGTCTCTAACAGTTAGCACGTAGCTATGTTTATAAGCAAGTGGTGAGCCAGAGGTGCGCGCAGAAATCTTCTCGTCCCAGGATTCTACCCAGGAAAGGCAATGGATCTGGAATGTCTAGAAGCAGGAGAGAAAGAGCTCCCTGGAATGAGGAGGAGCTGAGAATTTGCTCAAGTTTCTCCCCTCGCCTGCCCTCCCCTCCCAGGCTGCTCACCCCTCCCTCCCCTCCCTGTCTTCCCGCCAGGCCACCAGGCAGGCCTGGAGCAGCCCTCGCCTTGCTCTCTGAACTCTCCCTCCTGCACTCATTGAGCTGACGGCTGGGAAAGCAGAGCCCTCATAAAGGTGGCCATGTCGCCCCTCGCCCGGCCGATCCCTTCTTGCCTATGGGACGGACGGCTTCCAGGGAGGAAGGTTATCGGCTCCTTAACAGCTGCCCCT